ATGACAATTCATTACCATTTAGGTTAAATTCTGATTAGAATATGGCTACCTTTAGGTAACAGAAAAAAGCTAGGTATGGGCATTTTAGTTTAGGAAGTAGGGAAAAATTACAAATGACTTTTGAGAACCTCATGAACCAAAGACTGTAATGGTTGCTACAAACCTAATTTATACCTATAAGATTAAATAATAAAAAGATAAAGCCATTTTAATTATATGATTTGTTTTAATATGACGCAATTGAAAGGCAGTAAAATAATTAAGCAATAAAAATAATTTGTGAAATACATACTAAATAAATTACCATAATCTCATTTAGCCATTTAGTTCTCTTATTAACAAATTTTTTATAAGGTCCAGTATTTGACAAAAAGTATTAGTTTTCTTAAGTAAATATTTATTTACAAAAAAAAATTTTTGTAATTTCAAAAAGGGTTAACATTGCATTTTAGGGGCAACTGATTTTTTTTTTCTGGAAAATGTTATACATACGCGATTCGACTTAGGTAGTTTAAACATCAATTAGGTAGATAACCTACAATTAAGTTGATACAGTTTCGTCATTCATCTATTAATCGTCACCACTGCTGGGGCACAGCTCTTCCCTATGGATGAAATCGAAGAACGGAGCAGCTCGTGATAGTGAATTTTTGGTCACCCATCCTATGACCAACCCTTGCGATCGCGACCGAACGCGGTCACCATTGCACCATCAAGCTCTTTTTTATTCCTGTTGCACATAATCAATAAATTATTTTTGATATTGTTCAACATCTTCTTAAATATGTTTATTGAACTTTGAAAGTAAACTTTTACACCATATTGAGATAGTGACGTGATCTTTTTTTGTAAAAACTAATATCTAACATAATGAAACCTGTTGAATTAAGTATTACACTGGTCTTGTGAAACTTTTTAAAGTATTGCGTAACTACTTATAGTTTTATGAAATTGGTGTATGAGTAAAAATAATAAGTATTGGTCAAATATTGCTACTTACATAGTAGGATATTAGACACACAAGTAATTTCGTAGACGAAGTAAAAATACAAAATTGTTTTCCCATATTTAGCTTTTATTATTTTGTAAAAGTGTTATATACTCATACTAATAAGAAACTATTCTACTATTAGACGTGTGCGCCGCGCCGCGCTGATGACCGACGCCGCCGGTCATGACACGCCGCCGCTGACCGGTTAGCAAGATCGGCGTAAACGGCGCGGGATGGCACGAACTGCGAGTAACATTCGTTCGCTCGGTTGCTAAGCAACGTAGTGCATTCTCTGCGGCACCTGCTAATTCCGTTCCGTATTCCATCCTTATTTCCATATCTAGTAAAAATTGATGATTATTTCCATATCTAGTAAAAAAATGATCGGATGCAAACAAATAAACAATCAAATCTTTCTTCTTTAATTAAAGCTGTCAACAATGAAATCTTGTACAATTAATGTAGCACTCATTTACAAGATGGAGTTGGCAGAAATCATAAATTCAATACTTACCCTTATTTGTCTACTCTAGCTAAACCGCTACAAGCACACCTAACGAACGTGTATCCTCTGTAGCTGGCCTTACTAAAACGGCTAAGCGATTGCGTCTAACTGGGAATAATATCAATAAAATAATTTTTATACATGATAACTATTAGGTTGGGGAATGTGTGATTTTCTTACTGTGAAAATGAGTAAATCTAATGAAGAACTTAGATACATTTTAAAATTTTATTATAAAAGGTAAAAATGCAATGTAAGCCGCGAAAAAAAAATGTGACGTTTATAAACCTAATACAGTTTCTGTGGGAGTAGCACAAATTTGGTTTAAGCGTTTTCAGTCTGAAAATTTTGATGTTAAAGCATATCAGTGGTTACGACGAAGCTGAGCTCACTGAAAGAAACCTAAAGAACCGTGTATCCTTTCTTGATCATTTATTGCAGCGTAATGAAACCGAACCATTTTTTAAGAAGCTGATAACTGGTGATGAAAACTGGATCACGTACGACAGGAACTTGCGAAAAAATCGCAGTCAAAGGTCGATCAGGCTTTACAGACTGTGGCGAAACCCAGGTTAACTGGCAAAAAGGTGATGCTGTTTGTATGGTGGAATTGGAAGAGCATTATTCATTATGAGCTGTTTACCACCAGGCTGGACCATCGATTCCGAACTCTACTGCGAATAACTGATGAGATAAAAGCAAGAAGTTGAGAGAATTAATCAATAAAAGGATGGTGGTTTTTCATTAAATTAAGAGAGTTTGGCTGGGAGGTGTTAATGTATCCGCTGTATAGTCCTGACCTTGCACCTTCAGATTTCCACCTGTTTGGGTCCTTTCAAAATTCTTTAGGCAGTGTCAGGTTAACACCACGCGAAGATTTGATGATGATGAAGATGTCAAAACAACTTGTCGTGATTTCTTGATTAGAAGCTCCAAAATTTCTATAGTAATGGGATCACGTCCCTACTTACTTAAGATGGCAAAAAGGTATCAAACAAAATAATATCTACATACTTTAGTTAAATGTAAATAAACTTTATTAAAAATGCTTAGAATTATATTCTTATTAAAAAATGCTTAAAAATACACTTTGTCCCCAGCATTCTCAGATGGGACTTAAACCCTTGACCTTGGACCCATGGATTGCTAAAAATTGTTGTTTAATATCATTATGACTACATTACATAATTTAAAAGAGTATAATTTGCCATATTTGATTGTAACTTAAAAGGTGTTATTAGTTTTAGTAGCTCTTATATTTGTTATGTCAATATAGGCATTCTGAATTCTTTAACTTTTTATTTTCCATCATTTAACATAACGACGCCGTTTACGCCGCTATTTACGCCGCCGCCACTGAATTTTTAGCTCCACGCCGCCGCCGAAGATTTCGGCATCGGCGCACATGCCTATCTACTATCTTTACAGTAAGCACTGTGGAGCTGCATATTCAATGTGATCATGTAATTCCAATGCAGAGGCGATGTAAGGTGTGGGTCATTATCGCGAGCCACACCTTACGTCGCCTATCGATATCACCACCCTTTAGTGTCCCAACTACAGAATGGTAAGGTAGTAAATGTAAGTTTTACGCTAACGCGTTCACTAGTGAGCGCGTCAAGAATTTGTATGGAGATTTGTAGTTCTTGATAGTTACCACTAGGGGCGCTGTACCGGATTCCATGACAGTGAACGTAAACGTAAAAAAACTTACACTAAGCGCTCAGGGGCTCAGGAATTAAATTGAATAAGGAGAATGGGTCATGCCGCGAGCCCAGTGGGGACTGGTGTGTGTTAACGACTGCAAATGCATCCAGGACTAACAGCTAAGCCATCCTATGAGCGGCCATTGTAAAAGTTGCTCAACAACCGTAACGCAGACCGAGTGCAGTAACCACTGCGCCATAAAGCTTGAGTTTATTATGCCAAGAATTAAATAGTTATTTTTATATCTCGTCTCGCCTATTAAAGCAATCTAATAATAATACCTTTGATTGTTTTGATGTGACAAAGTTCACTTCCTCGTAAGCTTTAAAATGATCGTTTTAAAATTATCAACGTTTCTCTATGGCGCACACAAAATTATACAACAAATAAATGCGGAATGTATTCAACGGCTCTGTCTGTTTCAGTTAACAGTATTTTCTATATCCATCTAATTCAAAATGACGTTCGTGCCGTGAACTTTTTCCAATTAGACGGGGAGTACGAGACAAGAATGTACAAGAGCTTGATATTTCAGTATGTCCATATTTACCACAAATGTGAAGATAAATCGAAAGAAGACGAAGACATACTTCACTATCTACTAAAAACTTCGTATGGCGCCCTCTTATCACCCCCCACCCCCCCCACGCGGACGCAGCATTATTTTTTACCCTATTTTTGCAGTGTATGATTTTTTCTTTTATTACAATCAAGGACATGTCGGTCCTACCCATCGTAACTTGTGTGTTTTAGCTGTAAATAAGGTATTATTAACGATGATTTTGCCAACACTTGATCCCCCTTAGATCCGGGCCTGCTGATACTAAATCAAAAACGATACGGGAGCATAACCCTAAAATGAACAATCCTATACGCATTGTTTTTCCAAGACATTATGAATTACTTATGATAATTAGACACACACCGAACGCATGAATCTATATTCCTATAAGATTTCGTCATTGTTTTGACTGACTTGTTGATTACCGGTCATCTTTACTTATCGTGACATAGCAATATTAATCCGCCAGCTGCTGAGCTGCTTTAAGTTGGGTCTGGTCATTGATTGCGAGTGACGTCACAACACGCGAGCAAGGCTAGTAACGTGACCATTTTTTCTGTGGCTCATAACGGGACATCGTTTTTCACATTAGGGTATAAAAACAGTAATTTTTCTTGTGATGTAATTTATGGATTTATTTGCCGAGTAAACAGGTATTATGTGTGTAATATGACATTAAATGAGCAATACTCATTAACATATAATTTCCATAGTACCAACCCAAAGTAGTAGAAGAAACCTGTACTGATACACTTTTGTTTGCAAACTTCCTTGCTTTCTATTAACAGAGTGCGGCCTACAAACATTATCGCGCTTTTTGGAAAACGGGACATTGGGGGCCATCCGTAAATTACGTCACACGTTAAGGGGGAGTCGACAAAGTGTGACAAGGGGGTGGGAGGGTCCTAAATTTCGTGACGTCACATTTCAAAATCTAAGTGTTAAAACCCGAACTTTAAACTATTACTTTACAAAAATCTTGCAAAATATGTGACATCACGCAAGGAGGGGGGAGTCTTAAAAATGCGACCAACTGTGACTAGGACGGGGGAGGGGCAAAAAGGCATGAAAATCGTGTGACGTAATTTATGGATGACCCCCTCGCGTCCCGGAGTTTTCTTTGGAGAGACCGGGACAAAAATCAAAAAACGGGACGGTCCCGTTCAAAACGGAACGTCTGGTCACGTTAAGCTAGTGTAGAGTCGCGACCGACACCCGTGGTTCGGCACTTCGGCAGTCGCGGCCGTGTCCGATCGAACTGCGCTCGGTGCTAATAAAACCTCGCAGCACCATCGATCCATTTCAATCATAATGTTTCCTTAGACATAGTGTAATCGTTTGCCGGCTTTCTTAAAAAGATTGCTTGAATCTTTCGTATTTGTCATCAAGTAACTTATGCGTTTACACAAAACATTTGTACAGTTTTGCAAGGCGACGGTGAAAGTTTAAACAGAAGTTAGATTTTTAATACTCTTAGCGAAATAAATATTTACAAAACAATATGAAGGATAAAAAAATAAGGTAAGATAATATATTTTATCAATACAGCATACATTATGATAATACTTTCTTTGTTAAATGAGGTTATTTTTGTAATTAGTTTAATAACAACAAATTACAAAGATGATAAGCTAAAAATACAGTCTGATAAATAAAACTTCCTCTAAAAATCAATATCAATATAAGCATTTAACAATTATACAAATACAAATATTGCTAATTTAATATTTTTTACATTTGAAATAAATTATTTAGTGCTTTTATTACTTTTTTTTTTTGTTAAAATGTTACACATACATACATATGCATGTTATTTTGAACTAAATAATTTCATTGTATTGGTGTAATAAAAGTATACTAAACTAACCTTTGATCATAAAATATAACCTATCAACACCGAAATGATGTGCTAATCAAACAATTATGTTTATTTTAGTGATTGAAATATTATTTCCCATAAATATGCTATATAAATAGTATTCAAAATTATACTTATAAAGCAATCTTTAGTAATAATAAAATATTATTATTTAGTGTGTCTGTTAATGTAAAATCAGCGACCACCTTTTGTTTGTTATAATGTCAATGCTTGGTATTTACCCTGACATCCTTTTTCTCTAATAACACTATAATTTCAAAACGAGGTTTCATGCAATGTGCTTTTTTCGGTTAAATATTGTATCGAATTTTATTGGATAAAAACTTTTTAATAATAAAAATCATAGCAGGAAATATTTTGGATATTATTAAGAAGTTTATTTTTTTCTCTATTCCAAAGGAATGGTGGAGAAATTCTGACACATAGGCCGCAAAAATATTAAATTATATATTATAACTGCTCGTATTAACTTTAGTTAGCGATATCCCACGACGCACCTCAACTACACAGTCACGAAAATATTGATTAATAGTCACTATACCTGTAAAAGAAATATAATTAAGAGAAGAAATTGACTATCGAATTCGAACCATTCACCATTAGTTTTGTTTTAAATACTGGAAGTACTACATGGTCTAAATTATCACTGTGATGTCGTTGTCACTAAGGAAATTATGAAATAAAAATTGTATTGTTATTTTAAATTAGTGTTTGACCCAGTTGGTAACCTTACCTATATGTATATAGGTATGATCGATATTATGTTGATAGTTTTATTTATTGAACACAAAGTTTCTCAGAAAACAAGCTTATTAATTAATTAGGAACTTCTAATCTACAAAAGTCCAGCTTAATTTAAACATGAGTTTTCTTCTTGCAAACCTTTGAGTGCTCGTGAAAAGGTAATAAGCGTAAAGTCTAAAAGTGTATCAAAGCCAAAAAAGCAGAGAAAAGAAAGCAATATCAACAGAAGATACACACGTGATAAATTAAATATATACTTCTTAACTCAATAAAATACTTGATATAAACACATAAATAAGTGCGCTAAGACACACTAGTAGAGAAAATGGTCCTTTACACTTTTTTGAATATACCGAGAGTAGGGCTATCACACAGCAAATGGGCAGTGATAAGTGCACAGCGCGAACCGTAACAGAAGCACTGTAGCAACTTGAATGGTCAGAGTACGACAAGGTTTGTCACGTGGAATAAGAAAAAAGTCTGTGTATCTGTGATATGATGTAGATTAACCGACTTATTTTTAATAACATCTTATTTCGACTTTATTTCTATATTCAAAATAAATTTAAAGTTAGTGATTCTACAAGCTTTCATTTAACTAGCAATGTATATACCCATTTATGTTCGTTAAATATTGCAAATGAATTTTAAAGCTGTTAACCTCAACCAATCAAGCTAAAATTCTGCAAACCGGTTTGGTATGACAATGCATGGCTAGCTAAGTTACATAGTTTTAAACCTAATATGGCGGACGGCCCAAGGTTATTCTAGCCTTATTTTTTATGCACTGTCATATGATATCAAATAAAAGTGTTTGCTTACAATAGATAAATAGACACTTTATTACTCACACATAATTATTAACATTGAGTTAACAATTTTCTATCTAATGCTAGAGAGGACAAAAATATAACAATGTGGCTGATGATATCCGATATATGACTTAAGATAGCATACTATTTTTAGACTTTTTTATAATATTAGTATTAATTGCTAGGATTTTCTGAGAAGATTACGATAAAAAAACTTAAAAATCAAAATAAAAAGCAATATTTTATATAAATGCGCTTAAAAGTAATACATTAACTTTAGAATACATATTTACTTGTATATATTACTAGCTTTTCGCCAGCAATTTTGCCGCGTGGTTCTTTGGGAACTCATGACACGGATATAATTATAATGACAAATTGAATATATAACAATAAATTCCCTATGCAAACTTCCACTCCCATTTTCATCCCTTTATATGATGATTTTCGGAATAAAATATAGCCAATGTTCACCGCTTATGATGTAGCTTGTAGGTGAAAGATTTTTTTAAATTGGTCCCGTAGTTTCGAAGCCTATTCATTACGAACAAACAAACAATCAAATATTTCCTCTTTTTCTTTATTAATTAGTATAGATAGACTAACTTTTTAATATAAAGTTTCATGTTTCTAACATCAAAAAATGACTGACTTCCATACAAACTTCAAAGTCCAACTGCTATTTTACCCATTTTAGTAAAATTTTCACAAACGCTGAAATAGGTATTTACTAATTTAAACTACATAAAGATTTTAATGCGATTTTTAACAACAAATAGAGTTATTTAAGCGGACGATTTATAAGTATAATACAAGAGCTCGGGAACGAAACCGCTAGCGGAAAGCTACTTTAAAATAATGCTAATAGTTAGATGGTCATTTACACAAACTTCCATTATAATTAGGTTTAATGACTACTTAAAGCTCAAATTAATATTCTTAATTTGAAGTTTTGTATGGGTAAGATGACAAACGAATGACAATTTTAATGGACCTTTGTGCAACTGGCTATGAGAGTTTTAAAAACCATACTACGAAATTATCCATCCTCTTTCCCTATAGATAAAAGTCATTCATGGCATGGCAATGAGATAGATTTTAACCTTTATGCCCCCCTCTTAATGGTAGATATGAAATATTACCGTGCTCAATCGTGAGAGCACATTCCCAGCGTATGGAGGAAATCGTAAAAAGTATACAACACACAACCAAACACTAGTACCTACTTATGCATACTCCATTGTTCATCAAAAACCTCTCCATTTCAACACATCCTATAAATTTTCAATTGGCTTTTACTTCACAGTACCTCAGTACCGACTAATATAATACGGGTATTTCTCTTTATCAGTGAATCGGAGAAGTATCCATAAACAATATCATTTTAAAATAATAATTAAATATCTCTGACAACGAAGAAATCTATTATTATTATCAAGGTTGTATGAAACAATGATGAGCTTATTGCGGATTTAAATATATTAAGCGAATTACCTTGAAAATTCAATTCACAGAGAATGGGCTAAGGAGAAGATCCTACACCATTTATTAGTATTGCTTTTGTTTTCCAATGAAAATATATTGATTTAGTATAAAAAAACCAAATCTAAAACAATAAACAAAATCTTAACCCAAGACATCACGTCTAAGATTTAAAGTAATAAAACACATTAAAATTATTTTAAGTTTAAAGTTTTATTTATAGTAATTTTGAAGCATCGAAGCTAACTTTGGTCACAAAAAAATAACCGTCTAGTTGCTACGGCCAACGACCGAATGTCCTCCACCGCATTTACACTTGAAATTATAGATAGAGCGATAGATATTAGACTGCATCATTGATTTAAAAATGATATGTTCATATTTAGTAATCGAATTTTTCATATCTCTATTGAATACTAGGTGTTTTCTTACGACTTTGCCTAAGGAAATAATAGCCTTTAACACCCACATATGATGTAGCTTCACACAGATGAAAGAATTTTTGGAATCATTGATCGGAACAGTATTTCTGAAGATCAACCCCTATAAATATATAAACTGAGTTTAAAACTTTACCTATTTATAATATTAGTGTAGAATACACTAAAGTTTATTATTTATTCTACCGCTACACTAATATTATGTATAAATTGTATAACTAATATAAGTATTTAGGCTTTACAACGATATTCATTCTTTGATATTTTTTTTTTTTCATTGATATGAACAACAAACGTTTTTAAGGTTATTTTAGCTACGATTTTGAGTTAGGATTAGAATTTCAGGGTATGCACTCTCGACAGAGTTTGCGATCGCAATATAACTTATAAATTCGGTCGGCTTTAGCGATCGTATTTTCACGATTATTGCAAGTCTACAATTATATGCAACACAAACTTTTAGGCGCGAACCGAATTAAATCTATAAAGTTATCGGTATTTAATGATCAAATTTTGCATCGTTAAATATCGAGCTGTCAAATTTGATCGCTAGGGAACAAGAAATCTATACGTATATAAAAATACTCAAATTCCTCGTTTCTGAAATTTCTTGTTGTCAAAAAAAAGTATCGACAACTTATCAGTTGAACTCTATGTGTGTCTAACAAATTACCATACTACTAGAAGACTTGAAATTATCGTTAAAATATAATCGCAATGGGTTAGCGAACGAATCCGTTGGTGAGACTGCAACTGTAAACTCTGTGGAAACCGGAGACCCATGACGATGACGATGGCTTTTTCATTCCAAATTAATGTTTTCATACTTATTTGGAGATAAAAGATGTCAAAAAAGGTCACAAATGTGTTTTTAATGAGTTTAATTTATTCTTAAACTGTATATAACCTTTTTATAATTAAAAAAAAAAGTTTGTCTCCTTTGACGTGCTGCGTTCGTTATGGTTTAAAACCACCACTATCTTGGATCATAACCTTTATCAATTTCGTTATCTCAGCGATGAGTGTCAACAAATATCCTACAGCTCTTTTAATATCACTTTTCTATATAATTAAAATGTAATGTTTAAAGTTATTGGCCATAATTTAATTTTTTATCGCACATGAAGGAGCTCGATGGCGCAGTAACTATCGGAATACGATACG